GTGAAAAGCTTTATGAAAGGGACTAGAAACAGTGCCCATCAACTAAACAGTGAGTAGGTTCAAGACTGAAGTCCTGGTTAGCACTGGACTGTTAACCGTAAGGTTGGTGGTTCAAACCCACCAGCTGTTCCTTGGAAACCTTCCTCAGAGTCGCTACTAGTCAGAACCAATTCACTGGCACTTAACAACATCAGGTGAAAGACTGGGTCACTTTTCTTGAAATCCTGTATTCTCCTATGACACTGGCCCATATGACTCCTATGACTCTTGTCCACTGGCTGGCTGGTCCTCTAATTGAGGTGTCACACTTATACCCTGGCCCTCTACTCTGCTCTCTTCCTCAGAGAGCTCTTCCATTCTCCATGTCTCTCCAGAAGGTTTTCATGGCAACTTGTTTACATTTTATTATAATAATTATATAACTAACTGAACTGTAATTATTTCCAGTATCAAAAACTCTTGGAGCAAATGACCATGGAATTTATCTCTGAATCCCTACAACACATAGCAGACAGAGTTGAAATGACACATCCTTCTTGTCCAACATGTAGCTTCCATGATACACATGCTCAAGCTCCAGAAACTGATGACTCCCTCTGTTTCATCCGTTCTAATGTCCCTCTATTTTCCCTTCCTTTCTAAATCCATAGAATGGGACCTGGAGCCCTGGTGGCACTGTAGGATAAGTACAAGACTGCTAACCACAAGGTCGTCTGTTCAAATCCACCTTGGGAGAAAGATGAGACTTTCTGTTTCCATAAAAATTGACAGTCTCAGAAATCCTATACAAGGTCACTATGAGTCACAATCAACTTGATAACAGTTTTTTTTTTTTCCTTTTTGTTTTGTTTTGTTTTTTTAGAATGGAGACCAGGTTAACTCACACTTAAATATTTTTAAAAGACTGATATAGAAAATCTATGTTAAAAAAACAAAAATAAAAGATTAAGAAGAGAAAGAAGGAAGGGAAGAGGGATGAAGGTAGAGAGAGAAATAGAAGGCAGCTTGGCTGCTATATGTGCAAGTATGAAGAGATCCCCAGAGACCCCAAGACACAGAATCTCACCACTCTGACACTGAATTCCAGATCTTCCCCACTAGGCTGCACTGTTCTACAGGCCAAATCCAGAGGTATGTGCAGTTAGCATAACCCTTAGATTTCCAGAAAGTCCCATTGATCTCTGTTGGTAAGTGCCGTCAAGTCAGTTCCAACCCATAGTGACCCTGAATAGGGTTTCCGAGGAGCAGCTGGTAAGCTTGAACCACTGACTTTGCAGTTCAAACAGCTTTGCAGTCTGGAGCATTAACCCACAGCGCCACAAGAGGACTCCAACCTAAAATCCTGACAATCATAACAGTTTCTTACGCTCCATTAATGACAATTACTGTTAATGTAATATGGTTCCTTTTCTACCTCAAAATTCTCAGAATATACAAACTAAGGGGAAGGAATCAACATTGATGCAACAGGATGTGATTAAGACAAATTTACTACTATTTCAAAATAGCAAAGCTCTCTTCTCTCCTTGGTTCCAGAAAGAGACAGAAAAGGAAACAAGGTGCAGCTGAGGAGCAGTTATAATTTTAAAAGCTATGTAAATTTGACATGTACCATGGCACAAGGGAGCACAGTGGCTGTTTAGTAGAACTGGATTGTGAACCACAGGGTTGGTTGTTTAAGCACACCAGCTGCTCTGTGGAAGAAATATGAGGCTTTCTGTTCCCGTAAAGATTTATAGCTTTGGGAGGGTCAATATAAATCAGAGCTGCCTTGGTGGCACTTAGTAACAACAACAACATAGCACATGGTGAAGTGGAATGTTCTCTAACTTGGAGAAATATTTCTCTAGTCTACATACAATTTTAAATGACTTTTACCTTACTTTAGTGTATCATTTTGTTCATTCAGTGAACATCCGAGGAACAGTCCATGTAAATGAAATGTGTGACAGACAAAACAAATGGGAACTATATTCTGATCCCAGGAATTGGTCAGCAGAGAAAAGCAAACACTACCAATGATTACATAAACTGGCCCAAATGTCTCCATTTTTGTTTTTAGGTGTTATCAAGTAGGTCCCTGACCCACGGTGACCCCACGCCCAGTCCTGTACCTTACCATGATTGGTTACGAGTCAGATCATTGTGGCCCATAGAGTTTCCACTGGGTGCGTTTTGGGAGTACATTACTAGGTCTTTCTTCCTAGTCTGTGTTAGTCTAGAAGCTCTGCTGAAACCTCTCTGCATTATAGCAGCCTATACACCTTCAGTGACAGACAGATGGTGGCTAGGCATGAGGTACATTAGCGAGGATTCAAACCTAGGTCTTCCCATGGAAAGTGAGAGTTCTGCTTGTGACCCACCACTGTCCCCTTGCCTTATAAGTCCATTTCTACATATTTACTAAAGCAAATTAAACTATATGTCTTCAGAGAGGTACTTACATAGAGACAAAAAGTATCATATCCTGGGCAGGGTACAGGACTACAAAGATGAGTGACATTTGATTACTCTCATGAAAGGCACGTGACTTTATGGTAGAAATGATATTAATAGCTGCTTGCTCTCAGGTGCCATGGATTCACTTTCGACTCGTTGCAATCCCTTGTCACAGAGTAAAACTGCTCCATAGGATTTTCTTGGCTACAGTCTTTACAAAAGTGGCCACTACAGAGCCAATGTGCTCCCATATACTTTGATACAGGTCAATCTACACAGCTTTTCTCTCATGGATTTGCTGAGTGGGTACAAACTGCTAACACATCCATTAGCAGCTGAGACTATAACTGCTCATATCACTAGGGCTGTTGTTGTTAAGTGCGTTGAGTCAGTTCCGATTCACAGTGACTCTGTATAGGGTTTCCAAGGAGCAGCTGGTGAGCTTGAACCACTGGCCTTGTGATTAAACCGACTTTGCACTCCAGCGCATTAACCCACAGTGCCATACGAAAACTCTAATCACCAGGACTAACAGGCATTAAATTCATTTAAGGTTTACAATAACCATATACACTAGATACTATTAAGCCCATTTTAAAGGTTTGAGGTTGTATCCTTAAGGAGAGGTAAATACAGAGTTAAGATTTCAGAGCTTTTAACCACTACACTGGAGTCCTGGTGTGGTGTTGTAGGATAGGCACTGGACCACAAGGTCACTTTGAACTGCAAGGTTGGCAGTTGTTGTGGGTTAGGCATTGGACAGCTAATCAGAAAGTTGGTGGTGATTCAAACTCACCAGTCGATCTGTGGGAAAAAGAAGAGTCTACCTGCTCTCGTAAAGATTTACAGTCTCTGGAACCCTGTTTAGGATTGTTGTAAGAACCCACCTGATGACAATGTTTATTTTGGTTTGGTCTGAATGCAGAAAATTACAATGGAAATGATAAAACAAGATAAGATAAAACAATTACTAATACTGATGTTGAGCTGTGCCATAAAGCACTGGACCACAAGGACCGTTTGAACCACAAGGTCGGAGGTTGAAACTCACCAGCCACTCCTCAGAAACCCTATACAGGCTTGCTACAAGTTGGAACCAACTCCTCGGCTTAACAAAAACTACAAACAAGGGAAAGAATAACTCTCAGTCACATCTAGCCGTTCCTACTACAGTAGTCTTATTCCTGTACACCAACCAGCTTTCCACTCTGACTCTCAGAATCAACGTGGTCTGCACCATTGTGGTGGGGAGGGGAGTAGATAAGGGTTGGAAATTGGGTAACAACATTTTGGTTGTCAGTGACTGGAAAGCAATAGGGATAATAATACCTACTGCCATCAAATCTATTCTGACCCTAGAGACCCATTAGGGCAGAACAGAATTGCTCCCTAGGGTTTCCAAGACTGGGGAGCAAACAGTTTCATCTTTCTCACTCAGAGTTGGCTTAACCACGGACCTTCCAGTTAACAACACAATGCTTAATCATGACACCAGGGCTCCTTTAGGAGAATAACGTTGTTAGGAAGTGCTGTTTGAGTTGATTCCTACTACTAGCAACCTTGTATAGGGTTTCCAAGGAACAGTTGGTGAGTTTGAACTGCCAACCTTAGGGTTTGCAGTCCAGTGCTGATCCTATAACACCACATCCAAAGTTCAAGGATAATAATAATCCAGTAAAAAAGTTTTATATTCAAGTAATGTCCAAAAAGCAACCAGAAATGCTAATATGGACATCAGGTCAATAGTGGGGAGGTGAGGGGAGTAGGTGGGAAGGAAATAGGATATTATCCATGTGGAGTTGTCCTGGATATGTGAATACTACCTGAGAGTTGTTGTCAGAGAAGTCACAGAGAAATTCCCTAAAATTGAATTTTTCAGGAAAGAAATAACAAGAGACAGAAAGGGCAGGTAGGCTAGCATCACAGAACCCAGGGTTGTGCACAATAGCGGTGGTGGCAAAGTCAGAGGGGATCAAGACTAAAGAAAAGCCACTGAATCAGGATAGGAAGACCTCCCAGGTAACTCCAAGAGTTAGGTGGACAACCGAGTAATGAGGAAGACTAGGTTCTCCAGGCCAGAAATTTATAGTGATATTAGAAAATCAGCAGATTTAGAAGAAAGTCCATGTAAGAATCAGTATTAAGCCAAGGCATTTTTGTTTTCTAGCAATGTCCAAGTGTGAAACAGGGGACATAAGAAGGACAAAGTAGAATTATGAAATACTACAAAGAAATCAGGAAGGGATTTAAGATTTAGAACCAAGAAAGAACTGATAAATGAATTGAGAAGTGCTTTATTAATAAGAGTTATGTATAAATATCAAATGAAACCCTCATAGACCCAGATTTGAGTGCTGACCTGCCTGGTTTTGTGAAAGACCACATTATCAAGAGAGAGACACTATTTACCACATGCCAGAGACTATGACCATCTTAATTATGAGCCCTGAGTATCTTGTCATAAGATTCAAGTGTTACTATAAATCAAGTTCTTAGAAAAATGCTTGTACAAAATAAGCATGATAAACACCATACAACCAGGCAGTTGAAGCCTTACTTACTCGTGATGATTTTCAGCTTCCTCTGCTTTAGCTCTTTCAGCCGCCATGCTCTTAATTGCACAAAACTCTAAGAGAAAAACAGAACAGAAAAGAGAGAACTCACTCAACCAGAACCAAGGTCACAGGAATAATCAGCACGGTCACACTAATAAGTGGAAATGTTCATGCAGTAGTGCAATTCTTTCCTCAGGTCCGTTGGTGTTGCTAGGTGCCACCTAGTCAGTTTGGACTTGAAGTGACCCTATTTGTACAAAATAGAACTGTGTAGGGTTTTTAAGACTGTGACCTTTCAGCAGCAAATCACCAGACCTCTGGGTGGATTCACGGCACCAACTTTTGGCTAGTAGTTGATGATTTAAGCATTTACACCACCAAAGGACTCCTATGTTTGACATATTGTAGGACCAAAGAGAAGAATCCATTTTGTATATAAGCTTTAGCATGTCCTCTAGCTCCACGAAAATGATATATGTATAAATAGCCAGGCAGCTCAAGGCCAGATGCCAGATGTTTTCCTTTGCCCTAGCCTAAGAACAAAGACCACCAGTCCTAACCAATTAAACTGTAACATCTCATAGTTTGCCAATTGTTAACCAATCCAAAAATTGTAAAGCTGAGAAACCCGAGCTTGTTTGAAAACTCTATAAAAACCCCCGCAGACAAAGAGCTCGGGGCTCTATCCCTGATCCGCTGCGTCGGATGCAGGTGGAGTCCGAGCTCGAGCTTGAATAAACAACCCTTGTGCACTTGCATTGGTGTCGGCTCCTTCCTTGGTGGTCTTTGGGGACCCCGAATTCTGGGCATAACAATATGTGTGCAAATATGTTTATACACACACCCACACACAGAGAGAACATTGCTATTATGGATTAAAATGAGTCTGCCATTATGGATTAAGTAGTATCTATAAAAAGATATGTTGAAGACATAACCCTGTGCCTGTGAAAGTGGCCTTGTTTGGAGAAACAGGATTTTCTTTGTCGACATTAAGCTACCAAAGTTACACTTAACTTCCCTTTTGGAGCGTGACTGTTTGTGTCACTATTGTATTTGGGATGCAAATAACTTGTATTCTAGGTTCCACAGTCCACAGATGGAGAGAAATTTTACTCCAGGATGGAACACACCCAGATTCCAACCTATACTTGATTTAGATGATTCCAAAGATAAGATTTTGGGTTTAAGACTGAAAGCTAGAGTGGGTTAAGACTTTTAGGAAAGCTGGGATGAGGTATAAGCATTTTCCAAGTGGGAAGGATATGAATTTCGAAGAGCAAAGGACTGAGTGTTATGCATTAAATTGTGTCTCTCCAAAACGTGTGTTGGTGAATGTGATCTTGTTTGGGAAAATAAGATTTTTGTTTGTAGATGTCAACAGTTAAAGTTAAAAAGTAAAGTGAGTGAGACCTAATCCTAATCCCTTCTGAGTGTTTTCTTACAAAAGAAGACAGACAGGAAAACAAAGTCACACACAGAAGAACAACAGCAGTTCCTCTCAAAGCCCCAGAAGGAAACTGACACCCTGATTTGAGTGTTTACCCCTCTAAGACAATAAATTCAAATTCTTTAAAGCTACCCCTTTTAGATATTTTGTTATGACTGCCCTGAGAAACTCCCGTTGCTAATTTTGAAAAGGAGGTAAACAAAATATGCCAGAGACAAATGGCCTGACACTTTCCACCTTGGTAGAGAACCTTTCCTCATTTCCTTGTTTTCCAGCATAGCAAGAATCACCTGATATTTACCCAAAGACCACACCCAAGGCCACATCTACCAGAGACTTGACTGACCTTTTCAGGTTTCAATTGCAGCTCAGGGGAGAGTGAGTAGTCAGGTGCAAGGCAGGCAGAGGAAGCAGCTCCTCGGAGTGGTTCACAGGATCTGTGAGGAAGAAAGAGAAGCGTGGTAGAAGTGGACTTACTCCCTACCTCCACCCCCATGAGAAAGTCCAATGAAAGAAAAATTACAAAGCTGCATAGCTATTTTACGGGGGCTCATGAATAGGAATCTCACTTAAGACAATTTCTCTGTGTGAAAGCAGAGCTTCACTTTGGGAAAAAGTGAAGCTTACATTTTGAACTTGGATAAAACCAACAAAGATTCCCTCCTTAGTAGGCTCCCAAATCCCAACATAGCCTCCCAAGATGAGTGTGACTCAACTTTAAGAAGAAACTGAGGAGACTAGGCTTAATGGTGGATTAGGGAGAAGTGTAGTGCAGACCTCCACCAGCAATAACATAGAGTACCGGATGAAGCAGGTTCAGGGGATGGTACCAGATCTCTGAACTAAATATAAAGAAATGTTTAGAAAGTTCAAAGGTTTATAGCCAGTGGAATGTGTAGCAAAAGTAAGAAAGGTGGTGTTTTATGATCTGTGGCTCACTCCCAGAGTGACCATCTTGGGCATGATGGAATGAGTGAAGGATCAGAGAAGCGCTCCGAGTTTAGAGATCTGACTGATCCTTGGAGATAAAGGTGTGGACATTCTTTTTCTTTTCTCTGTTCATTGGTCTCTCACTGTCTGCGCACCTTCACTCTGGTGACTAGAGAGGGTGCCTGAGCAAGTGGAAACCTCCCCACCCCTAAAGGATTCTACTGTGCATTCCCACAGATCTGCTCAGCAAAAAACACTAAGAAGGGGGAAGACACTGTTTAAAACTGAACAGTTTTCCAAAACGACTGCAAATGGCCCTGATCTGTTTATCACTAGGAAAAAGTCCTGAACGGGGGTTGTAGAGTGGAAGAGAGACAGACTGAAAAGGAAATAGGCTGAAAGTTAAAACCTGAATTACTTCACAAGGAGTTAGAGGAACACCTTGAAATTTCTTAAGCAGCCTTGAAAGCAATAAGCTGAAAGAGGGGAGTTAAATTCATACTCATGTTTTGCTACATTTTTTTTCTTTTCTGTGATTATAGACTATAGTATCAATCTGGTTTTTTTGCTGTTGTGGTGGTTTTTGCTGTTCTTGTTTTGATTTTTGGTCCCACTTTTACTTTCAGGGGGCTCTTTCTCTCCATATTTTATCCACGAACAGACAGCAATTGCAGTCATATAGCCAAGCTACAATCACACCCTATAAAATCCCACCATCCAGGCAAGAGGCAATACCAGCTTCTATACACCAAATGACAGCCAATAACTGCTACAGTTACTCTGAGTTGAATAATAAGAAAAGTGAAAAGGGAAGTTCATCTCCTAATCACATCTACCTGGACACGATCAGAAAGCATACTAATACATCAACATGCATTCATCTAATTATTGAAAAAAAAAACAACACCTAATTATTGAAGATTCCCAAGAAACAACTGAAGATATTGGCACATGTCCAGAGGCAAGATAGAGTAAGTGAGACAAATGAGCTGGAGGTAGGCTAACTTCCTATTGGAAGGAGGGCAGGCTTTGGAAATGCCTGAGA